CACGCGCCCTATGGCAGAAACCTCTCCAAAAAAAAAAAAAAGAAATGCATATATTTATCTAAAAAAAAAGGAAAGAAAACTAACTTGATTTATAGTATTTTGATTCGGATGTAGATTGCACTTTTCCTTATAGTTTTGATAAGTCTTTGTCTCATATTTTTGTGGCACAATTTCTGTTAGGCACCACTGTTATATATCCTAATAAAGATCACGATTCTTTTTGCTTTGCAGTCCATTGCCGATGGTTTTAAGGAGGCAGTTCGTTACGTCCTTCCTCGCCTTATGCTAGTGCCAGTCTATCACTGTTGGCACTATTTTGAATTATTAAAGGTAAGATAAAAAACTTTCTGAGCCAAAAGTACTTGCTTTTCTGAGGCCTAAGAACTAGTTTTTGACATGATCATTTTTAAAATACTTTTTATTCATAAAAGTAAAATATCTTAAAATTTCTAGTTTTAGGGGTCAGCAGGTAGCATAATGGTTAAGGCATTGGACTCCCATGTGGTTGACTGATATCATATACATATAATATATATATACACTATATATATATTAGGTTTTTGCCATAAGGCGGGCACACATACCAGAGATAGTATGTGTGTGTATATATATATATATATTATATATATATATACACACACACACACACACACAATATATTTATTATTTATCTTTAGATCATTTCCATGTAATAAACAGAGGAAGATGTATCTTTATGTCATTTTATAGCATAGAATCTCAAAGTACTAACCTAATAGAAGATAGTTTACTTTTTATTTTTATTTATTAATTTTGAAGACAGAGTACCAGTTTTTTTTTTTTTTTTTTAGGGTTTTGCCATAAGGTGGGCACACTTACCAGAGATAGAGAGAAGGAAAGTAAGAAATCACCCCCTAGGGAGATGTCCAAATTGCAGCCCTTTTTCCTCTTGGGATTGTGCTAGGTCCAGGACTTGAACTGCATTTAGACAGAGAGACAGAAAGCGAGAAATCACGCCGCAGGGGGGATGGCCACGCCGCAGTCTCTTCTCCTCCATTCTCCTCTTGGGATCTTGGGCATGCATGCACACGCATCTGGCCTGAGTTTAAGCCAGGACTCGAACCACAGTTGGCTACATAGGAGTCCAGCAACATAGCCATTACGCTAACTGCTGGTCCCAGCCGTGTGGGAATCTAGCACCTTAACCACCATGCCACCTGCTGGCCCTGTCTTTTAACTCTTGTTTTATATAAGTAATGAACAACTTTTATGCATAAAATTGCTCTGAATTTACCTCTTGTTTACACTTATTAAGAAAATTGCTTTCAAAGTTGACATTGTTTTCTGTACAGTATGGTATTTTCTCACTCTTAGCTGGGACCCTAGGAACACATTAACACACACACACACACAGGCCAGCCAAGTGGTGTGGTGTTTAATGTGGCGGCATGGCTGATTTTGTGATTCGAGTCTTGGATCTGGTGAATTGAAAAACATACTGGGCACATGTTCGTGCCCAAAATTTTGAAAGGAGAATGAAGAAGGAATTGCCCCAAATCCAAAAAGGAGAATGAAGAAGGGTGTAGTCATTCCTCATGGGGGATGATTTCTCTTTTCCTCTATATCTTTCTTTTTGTCTCTCTCTATCTCTAGCTCTCTTAAGCAAGCACATGCACCCTGTAGCAAATGAAAACACACATGCATGCACACGTGCATGCGTGCGTGTGCGCGCACACACACACACATATAACTTTTTAAAATTTAAATGTTTCTCTTTTTTAATTAATTGATCGATCACTATTCATGGTCACATTGGCTAAGAGGACTTGGACTCTATTGATTGATTGGTGGCAGAAGTAGTCATGGCCTCGAGAAGTGTCAGGCCATGATAGCCAATGTCCTATTCTTAGACGCAGACACAGTAGTTGTAAGACCAGCCTCAGGGATTTTAAATAAAAACCAGTCATCGAGAGAGGGAAAAAAATAAGTTTTAGTCATATAGTCAAACTAGGATTTATAAATGTTGCCACATATTAGAAGGCAATTATAAGATAATGATGGGACTTGAAATAAGACATGAACATCATCTTTTTTTTTTTTTAAGAGATTTTTGCCTTAGGTTTCATGCACTTGCCAGAGAGAGAGAGAGAGAGAGACAAAGATGATGAGAGGGAAAGTGAGAAATCATCCCCTAGCGGGGATGGCTATACCACAATCCCTTCTCCATTCTCCCAAAATCTTGGGCAGGCACACACATGCACCTGGAGAGATTTTCAAGCCACTGGGTCTGGGACTCGAATGGTGGTTGTCCTTGTGAAAATCCAGTGACATAGCCACTATGCCATCTGCTGGCCTCTGAACATTATCTTAAATCAATTTTGGGAATCTATGTATATAATTGAGGCTGCCTATATATATTCATATGAAGTCAGTGATCTTCTTTTTTTTTTTTTTTTTTTTTTAATCAATTCTCTTTGGTTTCATTGGTCTCCATGGAGAGAGACAGAATCAAGTTGCTTTTCTGTTTGTGCATGAAAGCTGACAGAAAAGAATATTTGAGGTATTTATTAGAACTCACAGAATGAATTTCTTGCTTAGATGTCTACCAGATAAAAGTCTAGCTTTTAATATTATTTTTTACCAATGAAATAGATGAGAAAAGTCTTAACAGGCTATCTAAACCAATAGCTTGATTTCAAAAGGAGAGGTTCAAGATTATTGAACAGAAAGATGCTTGCTTTCCATTCTGAGAGCATTTAAAAAGTTGGGAAGAAAATTCTACTGCACAGGATATGTTAAAATCTTAGTGCACAAGATACTTGAAGATGGGAGATAATTTGAAAATAAGCAGATGTCTTCAGATGCTAGTTGGAGACAGTGAAAATCAGTGGCAGTTATCTAGAAAAGTGAGAATGGATAATAACCAGAAAATCTTCATCTCTTCCCATTTGTAACCTCCCCTACCTTTTAAAACAAATCAAGGGGAAATGTATATCAACCTGAAGTAGAAAAGAAACTCATTGTTGAGTTCTAAAGCTTGTCTAAAGGCAGCAGATGTTCTTTTATTACTATGTAGTAGTGCTTTAAGACTTTCAAGAATGATAATTAAAACCACCTATACTGATTAATGAAACTATAAACTTTGGCGGAAATATGGACTATATTCAGTTTTAATTCATGCCCAACAAGAACAAAGTAGAAATATGTAACAGAAAAATGAGCCACAGGGCCTATCTGTGGCCTAGGGGTTAAGAGAGGGTGATCTCATATGGCTGACCATGGAGGCTGAGTCCCGACCTGGCCCCTTGAAAAACACACTGGCCGCATGTGTGTGCATGCACATGCGCCTGAAATCCCAACAGAAATGAAAAGATTGTGGGACTGTGGTGACCACGCCTCACTGGTGAGTGCTTTCTCTTACTGCCTCCCCCCATCTCTTTGAAGGTATATTTTATATATACATATATGTGTGTATATATATATATACACACACACACACACACACATATATATATTTTTAAGACAAAAAGTTCATTTCATAAATTATTTTTTGTTCTTTTCTTATTTAAGCCCCTCTGTGGTTGATAACGGACTATTATGTATATTTTTCCTCTAGTACATTTTAGATAAATTTTTACAAATGATTGTACTTTTTAAAGGTACATTTTAGATTTTTTTTTTCTTTTTTCTTTATTCATGATAGAGTGAATGCATGTGAGAAAGGGGTGAAGGAGAGAGATGAACACTCTCCACAGTGCAGGACAGACTGAGATCCCCTCCAGCCTGTTGACTTCTGGACACTTGGGGGACCCATCTTTTCTTTAGCAGCATGCTGAGAGTCACAGAACTAGCCCTAGATTTTTAAAGATATATTTTGATCTTTATACAAAAGGAAAACATTTTCAGAAGTTTTTTGCTTGTAACTAACTTGATAATACAGTTCTTTTTTTTTTTTTTTGAGAGTTTTTTCTTTTTTTTTTTTTGCTATAGGGTGTGTGCGCTTGCCTGAAAGACAGAGAGAGACAGAGATAGAAAGCGAGAAATCACCCCCCAAGGGGGATGGCCAGGCCGCAATCCCTTCTCCTCCATTCTCCTCTCGGGATCTTGGGCACGCACGCACACATGCCCAGCATGAGTTTAAGCCACTGGGTCTGGGACTCGAACCCTGGTCGACTACGTGGGAGTCCAGCGACATAGCCATTACGCTAACTGCTGGTACCCTATAATACAGTTCTTATGATCAAAGAAAAAAATCAACATCTATCCTTTGTTAATAAGCATATATCAACTTATGTTAGAATTGATTTATTCAGGCTAACTAACTCTTTTAACTCGGACATTTTCTAGAAATTTAGTAATGAAAATAAATCATCTCTCTCAAGAGGTTATAATTTATTTCAAAGCTTAACAGGAAGACTTACATTAATAACTTTAATGGGGTTTATTGGGAAAGATAAGCTAGTATTTCAGTATGAAGCAATTGAGTTTCTTAGTTAATACTTTTTTACCTTTTACTTTGAAAAACAGAAAAGTTACAAAACAGTAGCGTGAACTCCTTTCACCTAGATTCTCCAGTTAATATTGCGCAACGTTGGCTTTCCATTCTTTGTATGCATGTGTGTATCTCTGTGTGTGACTGTTTTCATAAGATCAAGAGCTTGATGTAATTTCACTGAAAGAAAAGTCTTTTGAAAAAGACTTTTGAAAAAGACTATAAAAAGTGTTTCACAACATATTTATTCTTTCAGTACTGACACGTCATTCAAGAACATACTAAAGAAAGATGATTTTTTTAAGCACATAAAGAAATGGTCATTTGTGTATGTGTGTGTGTGTGTGTGTGTGTGTGTGTGTGTGTATGTGTGTGTAGTTTATTCTTTTTTATGTTCTTTTTTTTTTTTTTTTAACGGGGTCTTATGATGTCACTATCCTTCTGCCTTAGCCTCCCAAGTTAACTAGGACCACAAGCACGTCCCTGGCTCCCTCCGAGTCTCACTGTGTGGCTGTGTTGCCAGTAGCATATAGTCCTCCAGCCTCAGTCCTCTGAGTAGCTGAGATGACAGGTGGGTGGCACTGCAACCAGCCTTTTAGGGTGGACCAGGAATAAATCCTTGGCATCCCATGTGGCTCCAGCTTGATAAGTGTCTAATATGTGCTATGATGGCTGGACTGGTCAAACATTTTAATGAGTCTTCCACCAAATTATTCTGCTTTTATAAAAATCTAGAGAAAAGTTTATTACTATCAAAAAAGCACTGAGGGACCAGCAGTTGGTGTAATGGCTATGTCATTGGACTCCCATATAATCGACCGCAGTTCTATCCCTGGACCCAGTGTCTTAAACTCACGCC